TGGCACTGTGTGAATTGTGCCACATAGAGTACCCTATTTGACCCTGGTGTCTGGTGCGTGAGCGTGAAACAGAGAGAGAGAGTCCTCGCTATCCTGCATTATTAAACTTTGCATTCAACCTAACAGGCATAATTCTTTGATATTTGTGTCACAAGTAGACAGGGTGGATAAGAGTGCATTTAGCATGCTTGCCTTCATTGCTCAGACCTTTGAGTAAAGGAGTTGGAATGTCATGCTGAAGTTGTACAGGACATTAGTGAGGCTTCTTCTGGAGTAGTGTGTGCAGTTCTGGCCGTCCTGTTATAGGAAGGATATTATTAAACTAGAGAGGGTTCAGAAAAGATTTACTAGGATGTCGCCGGGAATGGAGGGTTTGTGCTATAAAAATAGGCTGGATACCTTTTTTTCACTGGCATGTAGGAGGTTGAGGGGTAACATTATTGAGGTTTGTAAAATAATGAGGGGCATAGATAAGTGAATAACACAGGCCTTTTCCTTAGGGTGGGGGAGTTCAAAACTAGGGAGCATATTTTTAAGGTAAGAGGAGAAAGATTTAAAAAGGACAAAGGGGCAACATTCTTTACAAGTAAGTGATGAACTGCCAGAGGAAGTGACGGATCCAGATACAGTTACACTGTTTAAAAAACATTGGGATAATTTCATGGATAGGAAAGGTTTAGAGGGATATAGGCCAAATGCAGGCAATTGGGGCTAGTTTAATTTGGAAACAAGGTCAGTGTGTTGGACCAAAGGGTGTGTTTCCAAGTTGTATGACTCTGACTTCAAAGGGCAGTTTATGAAGCCAATATGATTTACATTCATTCTGTTGTTTATAATCATCTTGTCTGCCTCAAAAATTCCTAAATTTGGACTTAATGCATCAATTTTTGATTATTTTCCTCATCTGCTGTGTTTGAAATGAGAGACTGGAAGTGGATTTTGACACTGGTTATTACTTGCCTAGTGCATCGAACTGTGGACTCTTCACGATTGCCATTTACAGTTTATTATTGGGAACTGCCTGCAGAACTGTTTTATCTTCTGTCATTCGTTGGTATTCAGCATTTCTGCCTAGTCCCTGGATCTGAATGCAGTGCCCTATCGACGTGGGACTGATGCAATCCCAGTCAATCGGAGAGCGTAGAGGGTGTGAGGCAGTTGAGAAAGTGGTGTGGTGACCAATTTTAGTTTGTCTTCTAATTATACATTAGCCCCAGGGTCCTGCAAAATATGTTCCAAACATTTAATGTTTACTTTTGTTGAGCTAAACAAAGACATCAGACAGCTAACAGTTCACAAGAGCAGAGGAACAAAAAAAAAAGTCCAAAGCTGCCTGGTACCACACTGTCTCCCCCTTTTCATTTTCTCTCTGCATCTGTATTTCACATTTCTTTTTGTTTTCTGCAGATGTCTTTTTGGTTTTTTTGACATCTGTCTCTCTTTACTTTTAATTTTGTTGTCCCTTTCTCTTTATCCGCCCACTTAGAGTCATAGTCATTGCGTCGTGTGGATCTGTAGCACAGAAAAAGGCCGTTCAACCCATTGTGTGCACCAGTCATGAGCCACCTATCTATTCGATTCCCATTTTTTCCAGCACTTGTCCCATAGCCTGTATACCTCAGCATTGTAAATGCAGTTCTCTTTCAGCTTTTCCTCTCTTGCTATCCTTTGTCTCTCTTTTCAGCCTTTCTCTCGATTCTGAATCCTCTTCACTCTTTCCTACCCATGTTCATTCCTTCATTCATTCACTCTTCATCTCATTGATTTCCCTCTCCTTCCTGTGATTATGTTTTGCGTCACCTTGTGTTGCTGCTGGCTTGTTGAGGATGCGATTGTCCAGCGTTATTCTACCATAGATGCTGTTGGCCCACAGTCGCCCGCATGTACAACGGGAGAACTGGATTCACAGCCTGGTGCCATTACTGGCACTAGGCTCACTTTTTTAAACAACACCACACAGCCCTGACTCCTTAAACTTCATTCCCCTCATCAGCAGAAGGCTGCAGCACTGATTCCTGGAAATCTGTGCAGCCGGTCTAACCAAAACTGGGTGGGGACTGAGAAACTGAAGCCAGGGACATAATCATAGGAGTGGCACTGTAGACAGCTGGATAGAGATGGAGCCGAGGAGACAGACAGATGAGCTGTATAGTGAGGACATGTCTCTCTGTTCTCCTCTCTCCTACTCCTCTCCAAGTTCCTCAGTTCACCGCACATAGTCTCTTTACTTTCCCTTCTCATTCTGTCCGCCTCCACTCGGTACTGAACTGTGTTGAAACGGCAGCCTGGATTAAATAAGACCATAAGCTGTAGGAGGCCATTCAGCCCATCGAGTCTTCTGCACCATTCGGTGAGATCATGGCTGGTCTGACAATCCTCAACTCCACTTTTCTGCCTTTTCCCCATAATCCTTAATTCCCCTTACTGATTAAAAATCTACTACCTCAGCCTTGAATTTACTTAAGATGACCCGGCCTCTGCAGCCCTCTGTGGTAAAGAATTCTGCAGATTGGCTACCCTCTGAGAGCAGAGATTCCTCCTCATCTCTGTTTTAAATGAGCGAGGGGTAACTTTTTCACACAGAAAGTGGTGCATACATGGAATGAGCTGCCAGAGGAAGCGCTAGGGGCGGGTTCTATTACAACATTTAGAAGACATTTGGACAGATACATGGATGGGAAAAGTTAGAGGGATATGGACCAAATGCAGGCAAATGGAGCTGGTTCAGTTTAGGAAACCTGGTCAGCATGGATGAGTTGGGCCGAAGGGCCCATTTCCATGCAGTATACCTCTATGACTTTAAGTGAAGGCACGGTAGCTAAGTTTGCAGTCAACACAAAGATAGAAAGGAAGTATTTATTGGGGAAATAAATAGTTTGCAAATGGAATAGATAGATTGAATGAATGGCAGATGGAGTATAACATAGGAAAATGTGAAAGTTGTTCACTTTGGCAGGAAGAAAAGTTATTACTTGAACAGAGAATAACTGCAGAAATCTGAGGTGTAGAGAAATCTAGGTGTTTCAATGAATGAGTGACTAAATCTAATCATAGAAGCATAGAATCCCCTGCAGTGTGGAAGCAGGCCATGTGGCCCATCAAGTCCAACCCGACCCTCTGAAAAGTCTCCCATCCAGACCCATCCTGCTATCCTAAACCTATAACCCTGCATTTCCCATGGCTAATCCAGTTAGCTTGCACATCCGTAGGCACTATGGACAATTTAGCGTGGCCAACCCACCTGACCTGCACATCTTGGGACTGTGGAAGGAAACCAGAGCACCTGGAGGAAACCCACGCAGACATGGGGAGAATGTGCAAACTCCACACAGACAGTCGCCACTTAATTTGACAGGAATTGAATGTAACGTAAGAATGTTATGCTTAGGTTGTACAGGGCATTGTTGAGAATACATCTCAAATAATGTGTGTAGTTTTGGTTTCTTTATCTAAGGATGGATGTAAATATATTGGAACCTGTTTATTAGATTGACAGCTGGGATGAGTGAGTTGTCTTATGAGAAGAGGTTTGACAGGCTGGGTTTGTTTCCACTAGAGTTTAGAAGAGTGAGGGATGACTTGATTGAAATGTATAAGATCCTGAATGATCTTGACAAGGTAGATGTGGAAAGGATTTTTCCTCTTGTAGCCGAGTCCAGAACCATGGGGTGGTGGAGGCAGCATCATTGAGTATTTTGAAGGCACAGGTAGATAGATTCTTTTTTAGTCAGGGGGAATCAAAAGTAATTGGGGGTAGATGAGAATGTGAAATTTGAAATACGAAATACAAACAAGAGTGGCTAAGTTCTTACTGAATGGCAGAGTAGACTTGATGGGTTGCTTGTCTATTTCTGCTCATTACCTTGGTATGACTTGTAACTGCAGTGATGTGAAGGGGGATTTGTGGATGAGGGCAGAGAGGGATTTGAAAACAAGAATAAGAATCTTCAAAAGGCGCAGTGCTGGAGCAGGACCTCATGCTGGTCAACAGGCACATGGTGATGAGTGAACAGAACATTGACGTATAGGTAGCAGAGTTTTAGATGAGTTCAGGTTCATGAAGAGTGATTAATTTCCACACCGGGAAGGCAATGGCTTAGTGGTGTTATCACTGGACTGTTAATCCAGAGACACAGATAACGTCTGGGGACCCAGGTTTGAATCCCGCCACGGCAGATGGTGGAATTTGAATTCAATAAATATCTGGAATTAAGAATCTAATGATGGCTGTGAATCCATTGCCGATTGTCGGGGAAAAACCCATCTGGTTCACTAATGTCCTTTAGGGAAGGAAACTGCCATCCTTACCTGATCTGGCTTACCTGTGACTCCAGACCCACCAGCAATGTGGTTGACTCTTAACTGCGCTCTGGACAATTAGGGATTGGCAACAAATGTTGCCTTGCCAGCGATGCGCTCATCCCGTCAATGAATAAAATAAATAAAGAAACATCTGTCAAAAAGTGAAGATTTAACAGAGCCAGGTGTGACTTAGATTCTTTTTCAACATGTATATTTGTTTATGGCATATAGACATCATTGGCTAAGCCAGCATTTATTGCCAATCCTTTGAAGTTGTTGTTGAGTTGATCCAGGATTTTGATCCAGTTCCAGTGATATATTTCCAAGTCAGGATGGTGTGTGGCTGGGAGGGGAACCTGCAGCTTGGTCATATCCCCATGTATCGGCTCTTCTAGAGGATAAGGGGTCAATGATTTGGAAGTTTCTGTTAGAGGAGGTATGGTAAGTTGCTGCAGTGCATCTTGTAGATGGAAAACACTGCTATCACCTGTTGAAAGACAGATCAGACTTAATGGGCTGAATGGCCTATTTCTCCTATGTTTTAATGTCTTATTTGGAAAGAGAGCAAAGGGTCATCCAGGAGACAGACATGTTCAACCTTGATACTGTGTTCTACTCTTTTATGAACTAAGTGCAAACATGTTAAAAAAAAAATTGTTGTTTCCTGCATTTAATGCTTCCTTTTCTATCCCCTCTAGATCTTATCCTAATGAACTGGGCCCCAAACACTGGACCCACAGCAGATTTGAATATATTATGAAGCTGAAGCAAGCTGCCCTCAAATCAGCAAGGAAACAGTGGGCTGATTACATCTTGGTGAGTGAAACTGACAATCCTTTCTTGGAGCGTCGGAGGCTGAGGGGACACCTTATGGAGGTTTATAAAATCATGAAGGGGCATGTGTAGAGTGAATTGCCAAGGCCTTTTCCCCAGGGTAGGGGAGTCCGAAACTAGAGGGCATAGGTTTAAGGTGAGAGGGGAAAGATATAAAAGGGGCAACTTTTCCAGGCAGAGGGTGGTGCATGTATGGAATGAGCTGCCAGGGGAGGTGGTCCAGGCTGGTACAATTACAACATTTAAAAGGCATCTGGATGTGTACATGAGATAACAAGGTGTAGAGCTGGATGAACACAGCAGGCCAAGCAGCATCAAAGGGGCAGAAAAGCTGACGTTTCGGGCCTAGACCCTTCTTCAGAAAATGAATAGGAAGGGTTTAGAGGGATGTGGCCCAAATGCTGGCAAATGGGACTAGTTTAATTTAGGATTTCTGGTCGGCATGGACAAGTTGGACCAAAGGGTTTGTTTCCATGCTGTACAACTCCAAGATTCTATGACTCAAAGGAACAAATCAACTTTAGCAATGACCACATGGTACCATGTGTGGTATCTCATTGAAACTTACAAAATTCTTAAAAGGTTAGGCAGGGTCAATGGAGAAAGGATGTGTTCCCTGCCTGGGAGGGGCACAGGAGGCATGTCTCAGGATAAGAGGCAAGCCATTTTGGAGTGATTTGAGTTGTATTTTTTCCACTCAGAGGGTAGTGAATCTGTGAAATTTTCTACTCTCGGGAGCTGCACTATTTCAGATATTGAGTACGTTCTCTTATTAATGACAGGCAACACGGTGGCTCAGTGGTTAACACTGTTGCCTCACAGCTCCATGTTAAGTTGCTGATAGTGTCTAGGGATGTGTAGGTTATGTGGGTTAGATATGGGAGATGCAGGCTTACAGGGATAAGGCGGAGGGGAGGGCTGAGTCTGGGTGGGACGCTCTTTGGAGAGTCAGTGTGGACTTGTTGGGCCGAACGGCCTGTTTCCGCAACATGACCTCCCAACTCCTATACTCAATGCACTGACCAATAAAGGCAAGTGTACCAAACACCACCTTCACTCCACTGCCTGTGACTGCACTTTCAAGGAACTGTGTATCTGCATCCCAAGGTCTGTTCAGCAACACTCCCCAGTACCTTACCATTAAGTGTATAAGTCCTGCCCTGATTTGCCTTTCCAAAACGCAGCACCTCACATTTAGCTAAATTAAATTCCATTGGCCACTCCTGTTTCGACTGGAGGCCCATGACCAATGGTGTTCCACTGGGATTGGTACTGGGTCTGCTTTTGTTTGTCACTTATATAAATGATTTGGATGAGAATATGGGAGGCAAGGTTAGTAGGTTATTCCAGATGACACCAAAATTGGTTGTATAGGGGAGAGTAAAAAGGTTATCTAAGATCACAAAGGGATCTTGATCAATTGGGTCAATGGGCTGAGGAGTGGCAGACGGAATTTAATTTGGATAAATGTGGTGTATTGTACTTCAGTAAAACAAACAAGGGCAGGACTTGTACAATTAATGGTATGGCCCAGGGTAGTGTTGTAGAACAGAGACCTAAGGGTTCAGGTACATAATTCTTTGAAATTTGCGTGACATTTAGAGAGGATGGTTAAGAAGGCATTTAGCACACTTGCCTTCATTGCTCAGACCACTGAGTTTAGGAGTTGGGACGTCCTGTTTGAAATTGTACAGGATATTGTTGAGGCCTCTTCTGGAATACTGCGTGCAGTTCTGGTCACCCTGTTATGGAAAGGATATTATTATGTTCCTGGGAATGGAGGGTTTGAGTTATAAAAATAAGCTAGAGAGGCTGGGACTTTTTTTAACTAAAGTGTAGGAGGTTGAGAGGTGATCTTGTAGAAGATTATAAAATCATGGGTAACATAGACAGGATGAATAGCAAAGGTCTTTTCCCTAACGTGGGTCAGGTCAAAACTAGGGGCATATTTTTAAGGTGAGGGAGAAAAATTTAAAAAGAACATGAGGGGCAGCTTCTTTACACAGGGAATGGTTGGTGCGTGGAATGAACTGCCAGAGAAAGTGGTGGATGTGGGTACAGTTACAACGTTTAAAAGATGTTTGGATAACGGGTTTGGAATAGGGTGGCACGGTGACTCAGTGGTTAGCATTGCTGCCTCATAGCACCAGGGACTTGGGTTCAATTCTATCCTCGGGTGACAGTCTGCGTGGAGTTTGCACATTCTCTGTGTGTCTGTGTGGGTTTCCTCCCTGTGCTACAGTTTCCTCCCACAGTCCAAAGATATGCAGGTTAGGGTGCATTGGCCATGATAAATTGCCCATAGTGTGCAGGCTAAGTGGGTTAGCCATTCGAAATGCAGGGATGGGGGGGCTCTGGGTGGGGTGCTGTTCGGAGGATTGATGTGGACTCGATGGGCTAAGTGGCCTGGTTCAATGTTGTAGGGATCCTAAGTACATGAATAGGAAAGGTTTGGAGGGATATGGGCTGAACACAGATAGATGGGACAAATTTAGTTTGGGAACATGGTTAGCATGGACTAGTTGTGGTCTGTTTCCATTTTGTATGCCTCTAACTTCCTATCTTTATTAGACTAATAAAAAATTTAGCTGCTGTAATCCCCTTATTAAAAAGCATTTTCTTTGTGTCAATTTCTTTGAGCTGCATTAGTTTTTATTGTACTGCACTTGGAACAGTGCCGAGCAGAAATGGCCCTGTCACACATCTGATGAACACTGTTAATAATTCTCATTCGCTGTTTAAAAAAAAATCAGCACCACAACTCTGGTTCAACTGGACAACTGGTTAACTCTTAAAGTGACGCAGAAACTAAGGATTAAATCTCAAAGGAAACATCATAGTTTGGATTAAAACATGCTAACACATTCCTGCCTCTGTGATCCCCACTGTTTGTAGAAGGCCTGAGATATGTCAGCGAACAGTGGATACTCCCTCTGCAAGGATGCAACTACGGTTACAACGTTTAAAAGATATTTGGATAAAGGATTTGGACAGAGGTAACCCTAAAAGAGAGGTGGCCAGTTTGGAAGAATGACCCCCTTCACAAATTTGCTGCATGGACCTGTTAATGCATCATCGTCACCCCATCGGCCAGACCCAGGGAGACATCCACTGACCTGCCCGGCTTCTTCCTCACTGGGTGCCCAAAGTTTGGAAGAGTGGGGCTAAAGTGCAAACAAAACATAAGTAGGCCCCTCTCCGTAGATACTGCCATACTTGCTGAGGTTCTCCAGCACTTTCTGCTTTTAATTTTGATTTCCAGAATCTGCAGCATTTTGCTTATGTTCAAACTTCCATTATGGACCAAAACGGAATGGATTGAGCTTCATTTGAATAATCGAGGGGGTCCATAGATGCAGATTGCTAAAATAGAGTACTTATATAGAAAAATGAACCAAAAAAGCTGCTGTAATTTAGCTTTTATTTGTAGAGGGCTAGGATATGAAAGGGAAGGAAATTTTGCTACAATCATGCAAGACATTATTTTGACCATTTCAGGAACATTTGAAACATACAGGAGTCTTAAGTGGTTTGACAGGATAAATACCAAGAGAGTGTTTCCCCTCATGGGAGAGTCTAGGACTAGAGGACATTGTCTTGTATTAAAGGGGTGCCAATTTAATCATAGACTAGGATCCTTGCAGTGAGGAAAAAGGCCATTTGGTCCAACATATCCACACCTACTCTGAAGAGCATCCCACCCAGACTCATCTCCCCTGTAGCCCTGCATTTCCTATGGCTAACCCACTTATCCCTGGACACTATGGGCAATTTAGCATGGCCAGTCCACATAACCTGCACATCTGTGGGAGGAAACCAGAGCACCTGGAGGAAACCCACACAGACACATGGAGAATGTGCAAACTCCACACAGACAGTCACCTGAGGCTGGAATTGAACCTGTGTCTCTGGCACTTTGAGGCAGCAGTGCTAACCGCTGAGCCACCGTGCCACCCGAAAAAAAAGACTGAGATGAGGAGAAATTCCTTCTTCGAGTGGATTGAGAGTCTTTGGAACTCCTTGCCACATAGAGCTGTCAGGGCAGACTCCTTGCGTATATTTAAGGCTGAGATCGATAGATTCTTGGTCAGTCGGGGAATTAAGGCTTATGGAGAAAATGCAGGAAAGTGGATATGAGGAATGTTGGATCAGCCATAATCATATTGAATGGTGGAGCAGGCTTGAAGGGCTGAATGGCCTACTCCTGTCCCTGTTTCTTGTGGTCTTATAGAATTCTGTGTATAGTTTTGGCTGCTATACCTTAGAAAGAGTAAACATCGAACTTGAAAGGATTAACCAAAATGTAATGTAGATTATGAGGAGCAATTGTATAAACTAGGTTCATAGTCCCTGCAATACAGAAGGTCATTGGGCAATTTGTTTGAGGTTCTTATGCTCTTGGAAGGATCTGATACAGTAAATCCAGAGAAATCTTTACTGGGAGGAATCTGGGATGAGAGGTGGTCACCTTGTAATCAGAGCCAAGCCCTTAAGAGAGCAGTGTGGATACACTTCCTCACAAACAGAAATTTGGATTCTTCTCTGACAGAAATAATTAATCGTGTAAAACAGGAAATTGATTTTTGCTGGATACTGCTACGTAGATATGTGGGGTTAAGATTGTAATCAGCCATGATCAGATTGAATGGTGGAACAAGCTCCAAGGGGCTGAATGGTCTCCTACAGTTTGTGTATTCCCACATCACCAGCATCAGGGGACATCCAGGTCCCAGAGGCAACACAAGGCAGAGCCACAAGGTGTGAGAGGAAAGGGGTTCAAGGAATGACGTGTTGAGCAAAGCAGGAGGGGGCTGGGTGCTTTAGCCTCATCGAGACACCTCCCAGCAGATTTGGAACGAGAATAAGAAATGCCTAACAGTCTAGAGAATACAAAGCAGAAGCAAGGTTGCTCAGTACAGTAGGTCAGCGTCAGAATTGTGAAGTCTAGTTTAAGATGAAGTCCAGCAATATTTTTCCATGCT